TAACAGTGAATCAGAAAGGCTTTGTTTGATTGTTTATAGGGAAATTATTTCTTAGTAATTAAGAAAAACTTTATTTAATACCTCTCAAATGTATTATACACATAACAGATTTTTTTCAGCTATAAATTTACCTGCTCAATAACTTTTGAACCCAGATGACATTAAAATGATTTTATATTTCATAACCATGTACTTCCTGGCTTTCTAATGCGTATCTTACCAATTTTGCAAGTTCCTACCTTGAATTCACCAGCAACTCTCAAGTTTATCATTTATTCAACCTGATTTCCTACAGTTTTCAAACAAAAATCTATATTCTACACTAATCACCCCCATCCTTAATGTGTCTTTACTCACACAATTCTCCCTTTTAAAAGTACTCAGTGATGTCTACATCCTTCTACTTATCAGAATGTTCACTATCCAAAGCCATCCTCAGTTCTCACTTTTTCAGTCATTCTATCTCAGAGAGATCAGACCTCTTTTGAACTTGTGGTGCCTGTGAAAAATGCACTGGACTAGCAGTTCAGAAACATGAACTCTAGTTTTGGTTTTACTCGGTAGCTCAGAATCTGCCTGCACTGGGGGAGACCCCAGTTCGATTCCTAGATTGGGAAGATCGCTGGAGAAGGGATAGGCTATCCACTCCAGCATTCTTGAGCTTCTCTGGTGGCTCAGACGGTAAAGAAGCCACCTGCAATGTGGGACACCTGGGTTTGATCCCTGGGTTGGGAAGACCCCCTGGAGGAGGGCATGGCAACCCACTCCAGTATTCCTGCCTGGAGAGTCCCAGAGGATTCTGGGGGACTACAGTCCATGGGGTCACAGAGAGTTGAACATGACTGAGCGACTAAGCGCAGCACACCCAGCAGTAGCTGCGAGGTCATATGTAAGTCATTGAACCTCCCAGAGATTCAGTTTCTTCACCTGTAAAAGGGAGGCAATTTTGCCTACCTGAATGGCGGGGTTTTTGTAGAATAAGATGGTGTTATTTCATAAAATAATATTCACTTGTGCCATGATGGAGTTCAAATGGGCTGATAGATCAATTTATTATTGCTTTGTATCATTTTTATGTTTTCATGTAGCACAGTTAGTTTACTCTTGAGATGTGGTCTTTTCCCCATTTAGTTTGTAAGGTACTTAGTTTGACTTTAGGTTTTTAAAACTCCCTAATAGGGCTTTGCCATTAAGAACAAAATCCCTGTCTTTCAAAACCTTGTGGATCAATGGAGGAGAAGGATAGATGTAGGATTAAAAAATCATAAAGGAAAGCTTCCCAGACAAAGTGGCTTTGGACCTGGTAATGCCTCAGCAAAAGTGGATGCTGTATGGCCACTGTTAGCTCTTCATCTTCTCTCCACAAAGAACAGAGGAAGAGTTCCTGGATAAAGTGAACAGGAAACTGGCTCAGACCAATCCCAAGAAAGGCATGTTGACCACGAAGCCCTGCCACTGTAGGGAAGTCCTGAAGCTCGTGCTCTCGCCCCTCACCCAGCACTGCCTGGTCATTGGAGAAACCACTTGTGCATTTTATTACCTGCTGGAATCTGCCGCTGCCTCCTTGGATCTGTCAGATAATTACATGGTAAGCAAGCTCTGCTCTCTGCCCCTGAGCTGAGCCCTATGACTTGGGGGGATTTGATTGGGCTTTCTTACCAACAAGTATGAAAAAACGGAGGAAAGTAGGAGAGAGGCAGGAGCTGTAAGGGGTCTAGGAGAGAGCGCTAAGTGGAAGTGTGGCAGTGAAGAGCCCGTGTGCTGCCGATGCTGCCCCGACTCCTTCCCGCACAGTCCAGCTCCCCATTTCCAGTTAAATCCTGTCACAGTTCAAATTCTCCATAACCTTGGTCCAGCCGTTGTCCTAATCACACGCTTAACAGCATCCGAATCCTAATCCAGTTTCTCCTCCCCTTCTCTTGTTTGAAGGCCTTCTTTTATTTGAGGAAGGCAAGCAGTCTTCTGGGCCAACCCTCCACATTCTCATTTTTTAAAAAGCGCAAGGTGAAGATCTGTCAGTTTGAAGAAGCCACTTTCTGTTGTCTCCAGGCGGAGGTGAGGGCAGGGGTTAACCTTGAATTTTGCATTATTTCTCCATAAGGATTACCCTGTTATTTCCTTTAAAGTCTCTTTGCTTTTTATGAGCAATTATAAATGTGATTTAAATTCAAAACATAGAAATACATGTAGAATGTGAAAGAGTACTTCCTAATCCCTTGTCACCCCCAGCATAGTTGATAAGTTGGTGAAAATGATCAAAAGATATAAACTTCCAGTTATAAGTCCTAAAAATGTGATGTCCAGCTTGTGACTGTAGTTAACAGTACTGTATTGTATATCTGAAAGTTGCTAAGAGAGTAAATCTTAAAAGTTCTCATCATAAGAAAAAATATTGTAATTATATGTGGTGATAGATGTTAACCTTGTAGTGATCATTTTCCAGTATATACATATATTGAAACATTATACTGTACACCTAAAACTAACGCTATATGTCACTGTCCTTCAGTTAAAGAGATCATCACGTTGTACACCTTAAACTTACACATTGTTATGTATGTGTGAAAGATATCTCAATAAAACTAGAAGGAAAAGAGCATACTTTCCAAACTCTCCCCCCTCAACCCTATACCACTCAGCTGCTGTGTCCTCCCCCCAGTGTTATATATCTGTATGTATTTTGCCATAGGGGCTCAGCATACATAAATGTATATAATCTACCCACTTCCTTTGTTAAATACAAACAGGAGCTCTCTGTACTCCATTCCACATCTTGCTTTAACAGTAAATAAGACTTCCCTGGTGGTCCAGTGGTTAAGACTCCTCGCTTCCACTCCAGCAGCAAATGGGCGGGAGGGTTCAGTGCCTGGTCAGGACACTAAGATCTTTGGCTGCAGTGCAGCCAAAAAATAAATAAATCATGTACCCTGTAGATCATTCTGTATCATTTATGACAAATTTCCTGAAGGAATAAGATTTGTATGACAAATAAAAACTCTGGGGAAAGCACGGCATGAGACATTCCGTTTTCAAATGACAGATAGACGTAAATTTATTCTGTATGAATAACTCAGGACAGCTCAGCAACTTCTCCCAGCCTCATTTCTATTACATCCAACAGAGCAAAATGTGTTGGAATGAGAATGATTATCAATTTATAAATAATGACTCCCTAAAACTTTGGGGGATTTTTGTTGGAGAGCCAAGGTTTAAACTTTTTTAAAAGTAAGTAAAAATTAATTTCAGTGTAAACCTTAAGATACTTTGGCTAGGAGAATAAACCTAATGTGGATAAAGCCTTTGAACACCAAAGGGAATATTACAGTAGTCCACAGTGTTGTATTATTTGTGTTTCAACCAAAAGGTCTTTGAAAGTGTTAGTTGCTCAGTCGTGTCTGACTCTTTGTGACCCCAAGGACTATAGCCTGCCAGGCTCCTCTGTACATGGGATTCTCCAGGCAAGAATACTGGAGTGGGTTGCCGTGCCCTCCTCCAGGGGATCTTCCTGACCCAGGGATCAAACCCAGGTCTCCTGCACCACAGGCAGATTCTTTACCATCTGAGCCACCAGGGAAGCAAAGTTTTAAATAATTACTTCTTTCCATTTTAAAGAAAGAATTATTGGGCAGTCTTCCTAAGATTGTTCAGAAATTACCATAGACTTGATCCCTTTCTTGGAGGGTTTAGCCATAAAGCATGAAGGTATGTGATAACCTCAGGGTAGCTCCTCAGCTGCTATCTTCATACAGTGTGGTGGTACAACTTGTTTATGAAGAGAGTGATGAAATTTGGTGATATTTCAGATGCTTTCCATGGCATCTGAAGCTAAAGACAGTCCCATTTGAGTCTCCAGCGTCGCTTTGTAAATCGCAGCCTTTCTCTACTGGTCACTGACAAACATGTGGGAGATGAGAAAGGAGAGTGCTTTCTCCATAATTAGGTTTTCTCACTCCTTTACTTGCTCATGGCCCTACGGGTGCTTGTTGGTGTGGCCAGGTTCTGCTCTAACTCTGCTCCCTCTGGCACCTCGGGCCCAGGTACACATTCCAAAATAAGAGCCAGTGTGTTGTATCCAGAACCTTGTCCTTGGTACTCTTCTCACATTTACATTCCTGTTTTTCACTTGACTGTCTCCAGGTCTGTTTCAACATGGGACAGATCACCCTGGCCAAAAAGCTGGCTAGGCGAGCCCTTCGTCTGCTGAAAAGGAGTTTTCCCTGGACCTGGCTTGGTGTCATTTTCCAGACATTTCTAGAAAAATGCTGGTATTCCTGTTCCCTGAGTCAACCTCGAAACAACCCTAGTGAGAAGTAAGAAGCTTTGCCAACTTGTCCTGGTTCCATTTAGGGTCACAGAGAGCTAAAGTTGGACCTAGGCTGGGGTTTTGCCTATTTGACTCTCAAGGCTCCTCTTTTCAAGCATGTGAACAGTTCTCATTCATTTACCTTACTCTCTGGGCCAATTCAGTATAGCAGAATGAGTACATCTTTTATCTTTGAAGTATGGTATTATCCTGTCTTTTTCAAATAAAGATACTGTGTGTACACATACACATATATGGAATGTAATGCTATTTCTCTGACAGATATACACATAATATTAAACACTACCTCATTATTGAGCTGTAATAATTTATAGGAAATCTATTCAACCAAAAGAACAATTCAAAGAATGAACCTTTTTTTAAAAAACCTCTCTGAAAACTTCTTTTTGGTCAAGAGGGATGAATTTAAAAAGCATGAGGTTAGAAGTAGTGGGCTCCCNGAGATATATATATATATATATATATTATATATATATATCCATTTGCTCAACAAATATTTGATGAACACCTATTCTATACTGGGTTTCCCTGATAGCTCAGTTGGTAAAGAATTCGCCCACAATGTGGGTTCGATCCCTGGGTTGGGAAGATCCCCTGGAGAAGGGAAAGGCTACCCACTCCAGTATTCTGGACTAGAGAATTCATGGACTGTATAGTCCTTGGGGTCACAAAGAGTCAAACTTTTACTTACAACTGAGTGACTTTTACTTACTCTGTACCAGACACTGGATCTTGGTTCCAGGGAAACATAAGTGAAATATATAGTATGTTAGGTGATAATAAATGCAATGAAATAAATTAAGCGGAAGCCAGAGGACATAGGGTTCTGGAACTAGGGGTGCAGTTTTAATAAGGTGGCAGGGAAAGCCTCACCAAGCAGGTAGCATTTGGGCAGCTATCTGAAGGAGATGAGAGAGTAGGCCACGGGGGAGAAGAGGCTACCTGGGAGAAGAGCGGGCAGGAGGAAGGCAGAGTGAATGCACAGGCCTGCCCTCTGTGTTGAGGAGTAGTGCAGAAGCCAGTGCGACTGGAGGGGAGCGAGAAGGAGAGAAAGAGCCAGCAGGTGAGTCAGAGAGTCTAGGGAGGGGGATGGCAGATGGTGCAGGCCTTGTGGCCACTGTGGAAGTTTGGGCTTTTACTCCAAAGAAGATGAGAAGCTGTTGGAAAATTCTTAGAAGAGGAGTGACAGAGTCTACTTATATTGGAAATCTAACGAAGACAGAGTTTCAAGAGTGTCATCAAATGATGTCAATTGTACACACAACTGATGACAGAGATGGCAGCAGTTCTATAGAGTTCTAAGGAGCAACTAGAGGCTTCAGTTAGAGAAAACAGAAGAGGTGCAGTTTGGCCAGCGTCTTGAAGGGGAAGGTTTCGGGTTGGGGAAAAGAAGAGGGGCAGATGGAGGAAGCTGTTTGTTTAAAGAACAAGCAGTGAGAATGGTCAAATCAGAAACGTAGGGGTGAGAAGGAGTGTGTTTTCATAGCTGGAGTTGAGGTGAGCGGTGGCCCCCAGGAGTGCTACATAGAGTGAATGGCGGGCACGCGGGGGCTCTTACCCAGAAAGGGGGTGCGATGGCGCTGCAGCCTGACTGTGCAGTCTGGATGTTCACCTGTGTTTGTTGTCCCACAGGCTGTCTCTACCTATGTGGCCCTCTCCCAGTTCTCTCAGAACGTGGGTGACAAGGACGAGTGGCTGCACCGTGAGCAGCTGGCCATTCAGAAAAGCAGCCTGTGTTGGTTCTCCAGGGAGGGGCTGTTGGCCACAGCCCAACTCATGCAGGCCTTGGCCTACACCAAACTCTGCCTTGGGCATCTCAACTTCTCCATCAAGCTGGGTAATGGGGCCTGGGGCTGGTGGGCCTGGGGCTTTTAGAGAGGCCAGGCGCACCTCTAGACCTCACGATGCTCTTTAACCTCCTTAGGTTTTCAAGCTCATGAGATATGCAGACACCTCAAGAAACCAGCTCTGGAGAATCTGGTTCTCTCAGTTCTCTTCAGATCTGCATTTCTGATGAAGAAGTATTAAGATCCTTTTCTGTCCTTTGTATTTGTTGCCTCAGAGGGGAGAGTATGACCTTCCAGAGCAGTTTAGAGTGGAGAGAGAGAAGCTGTCCTGTCTCTACAGCCAGGACTATCTCCATTAGTCCTCCAGGAAACATCGTCTTAAGTTTGAGGGGTCAGGAGTAGAAAGGCAGAGTCTGGGCACTAGATATTTCCCACCTCTCCTCCACCCCCCCACATGCTTTTTACTGCAGGGAAGTCGGTAATTGCAATAGCTCAAGCCCCTGGAAGTTGTCTCAGAGTCATTTTCCCACTTCCTTTGCTTAGAGATAGGTCTGATCCCAGGCACAGATGTTCTCTATATAAATAGAATTATGGAACGGAAGTCTAGGGGCTGTTAGGCCACCTTGAAGGTGTAGGGTCCCATCCTCTTCTGTACAGCCCTTCCCATTCTCCAGCTGGTCCCAGTGGCTCTGTCTCTCGGCAGATTTGATCTGTGTATCCATGTGCTGGAGAGGCAGTGGGCACTCATTTCCCAGAGTCATGATGTCCTTGGCCAGGCCTGCTTCTATTCTGCTTGCTTAGATCTGCTGCTCTACGGAAAAGGTAAATCTTGTGCAAGGCTCTGCTGTATTCCTGAGGGATTCAGACCTCAGGTGGGGCCCTAGGTTTGGAACACAGGCACTCATGGGCCTATCCTTTGGGCATGGCCTCTGCTCCTGGCCCTTGTTCCTTAAAGTGTAGGAACCACATTGTGATTCAGGGTGTCTGCTTTCCAGGTGGTGTCTCCTCCCCTGGACCACGCACCTTGTATACCACTTTATAGTCGACAACTTATACTACTAGCCTGGTTACTTTCTCTGTCCACAGGATGGCTGTGTCGGCCCTTTGGGGAATGTCTGCATTTCATTCAACACTATGAGCACAGCTGCATTCTAAATTCTCAGAGCAATGTCATGCTGGGGGTCCACTCCTCTCTGGCTATGTGGTAATGTAGGGTATCAGAGTCTTACTCAGGGCTGTGGGAAAGGGTAAGTTTGAAGACACCATGAACTCATTTTAAGCTATTGCCTTTTGCCCTCCAAGGCAGGATGTTTCCACTTCTCCAACCCATTTCTAAAGACCATTCACCTCCCATTTCCCCCAACGTTATTGGAAGGGTTCTTCTTGTCCCTTAAGAGGTTTGGGCTCATAGATTAATGGTTCAGTTTAGAGTTACATTTACGTGTGAGATAATCCATGGCAAAGCTGTATGTCATTGGTTTTCTTTTGAGCCTTCTTACACGTGAGTTAGTAGCCTTGGCCCCTTACCAGAATCACAAATCTGACTGAAGGAAGTCTTAGAGCCTTAGAGTAGTGACAGTTCTGTGGAGGAGGCATAGTGGGCAGTTAGCGGAGAGAGCTGAGAGCTGTGGTTCTTTCCCTTCAGGTTTGCCCAGGACTCACAGTGGAATCAGTTTGAGTACCACTTCTCCAAGGCTCGTCAGTTGGTGAAAAGAACCAATGCCTCACTATTTGGTTCCCATGGCTTTGTCCGATTCTTAGAGTGCCATGTGCTGATGTTACAGAAAATGCCAGAGGATGTCTTCCTGCAAACTCTTGCAGAGACTCGCCGCCAAACCCTCACGGTACCTGTCTCCGTTATCCTGAACTAACACCTAAGGCATTGTACTCTTTCTGCCACCTGCCTCTCTCCCTTACTCTTCTCCTTGCTGACTCAGTCTCTTTTTCCTCCTTGAACCCATTTTTTTCCCTCCACCTACAGACTCTATCCACCTACCTCATGTATCCTCCCAGATATTCTTGCATGTAGATCAGGACTGGTTTTCTTAACTTTGCTGGATCTGCAAAAGCGACTACCCAATGCCATTAAAATGTTAATACTTAGCCCTCCTCAGTAGACCACTGTGGCTTTGGCTATAGTTTGACACATTTTCCTACATCCTTTACTTCTGAATCTAAAACATTCCAGTTCCTCTGTATCTGAGAACAGGCTTTCTGGGCCTCCTTGACCATAAGTAACTCCTTCCTGTTCCCCCAGCCCTGAGTGAGTGTGCTGAGTCGGAACTGCAGTAAGTTCTGATGGAGTGAAGTGGAGGAAAGAAAGTACTAATCCCTGAGCTAATGTACCTTCCTTCCTTTCAGTACTTTAAGGAGTTCTTCTCTCGATGTGTGACCTGTCCTGTCTATCACCAGTGGGTCTCTGAGCTTAAAGCCTTTGTAATGAGAAATGGAAAGATGTCCTTGACCAACATCATCAGACCTTTTGACACCTGCCTGACCAGTATTTGGATAGAGGGAGAATTCCTGGAGGAAAATAACTCCTTTGAACAAAATTTGGAAATACAAAGTAAGCATTCCTTCCTGGAACTCTTGTCTGACAGATATAAAGAACAGTCTCAGATTCTTACTCACAAGCAGTTAAAGGCATGTCCAAATAAGAAGGGATATGGAGATAAAAGGATTAGTCCTTGCTTCAGAGGTAGTTGCCATTCTCTCACAGTGCCAGACTCAGCCTCAATAGAGACCCCTTTCTGTAAGGGGTGGAAGAGCCTCTGTCAGCCCTTTGTTTCAGCATCTGTAAGTCTTAGGCATAGGAAATTCCCCCTTGGTCCCAGTGCAAACAAATAGATTGTTTCCTTGGAGTAGCTGGATGGTCACTAAGGGAGAAAGAAGGCCTTAGAAATCACAATGTAATGTCTGTGAAGGTGAATGATAAGACATGAGCAAGAAAAGGAGAGTAGAGAATATAGTTTCTTGCTTTAGGAACCAGCAAATCTCCTTTTTCCAGGCCATGAGTTAAATTTGTAATAGCAGAGGAAATTCTTTGTGTTTGTGTTACTCTTTATGTTCCTATTTTCAGGATTTGTCGGAGAGGCTGATGTCAACAAGAAGGATAAAGAAGAAATTCAAGAATGTATCTGTTAAAACAATCAAACAAAAGTCCTCCGAAGGGACCATGATTCTTTTATTACATGTAACACAAAGCTGTGCCCCCAAGTCTCCTTTTTAAGATGCTGTATATATACATATTAAATATGCTAGCCTTTTACAGTCACCACTATCTGTATATCTTCATAAAAATAAAAGCATGTGTTTCTAAAGCATGAAATTTAGATCTTTAACTCTCTTCATTAATGCAGCTGTGGCAGAAATTATTACTAGAACCATAGCTAGACCAGAGGCCAGGGAGGCTTTGAGATTAAACTGACTCCATCTCATATAAGATGAGATCTATTAACAGGTAATTCTTCCATGTTGTAGCATTTCCTTTTGTGACTGGATAACATTCCATTTTATGGATATGCCACATTTTGCTTATCCATTCATGCGCTAGTGGATATCTGGCTTAGTTCTGCTTTTTGGTTATTATGAATAATGCCATTATAAACATTTGTGTGCAGGTTTTTGTTTAAACATATCTTTCAGTTCTTTTCGGTATATACCCAGGAAAGGAATTTTTAGGTCATGCAGAAGCCCTTTAACAAACTGTCATACTTTCTCCTAAGTTGCTGTACCACTTATATTCCCAGCAGCAATGTGTAAGAGGTCCAGTTTTTCACATCTTCACAAACAATTGTTATTTACTTGTTTTTTTTAATATGGCCATTCTAGTGATTGTGAAGTGATATCTCGTTGTGGTGTTGATTTGCATTTCCTTAATGACTAATGATGTTCATTTGTTATAAGCTTATTGGCCATTTGTATGTCTTCTTGGAGAGATGTCTGTTCACATCCTCTGCCCATTTGTTTTTGGAATNTCAAGGTGGATGAGCTGTTTGTATATTTTGGAAATTTAAGCCCTCATCACTTGTGTCATTTGCAAATATTTTCTCTAATTCTGTAGGTTGTCTTTTCATTTGGTTTATGATTTCCATTGCTGTGCAAAAGCTTGTAAGTTTGATTAGGTCCCATTTGCTTATTTTCATTTTTATTTCTATTGTCTTGGGAGATTGACCTAAGAAGACATCGGTTCAATTTATGTCAAAAATGTCTTGTCTAAAACAGCTAAGTCTTTAAGTCATACTGAGAGGAAAGCTGGTTGTCTTCCTGAGAAAGGGAAGTGAGTGCTTTTGAATAGTCAGGAGTTAGGATTAATCCTTTAATCCTAATTAAAGGATTAGGATTTTTGTTCCAAAGCAGAATGGGAGAAGAGAGTGGAAAACTCCCATCTGGTAGTTTCAGTCTTTGAACATGTTCTGAGGACTTTTGTTTTTGTTTTTTCTTTTACGAAAAGATGGTAAAAGAGGGCTTAGGGCTTTAGGAAAGAAACCAAAGGATCAAGGTTTTGGTTTAGGTTATGGCAGACAAGGCCTTTGGAAGATGCCTGGTGATCTGAAAACAATGAGAGAGAGGCTGTCGTGACAGGCAGCCTGTGTTCAGGACTAAAAGATGGGCAAGGAGTTAGGACTGAGGGGAGATACTCAAGGAAAACAGGAGTGGAAGAAGCAAGAGGTCAAAGGTACGAGAAGGAATGAGTGGAAATATGAATTGGTGAATTCGGGGAGGTTGCTAAGAGTCATCCCGGTGTCTATACAAGAGGATATGACTAGAGAGGTGGTCACTGAAGAAGATTATGGGAAAACTTGAGGGGAATGAGCCCAGAGATGTTACAGTAACTGGCAAATTGATGAGAACTCTTTGGAAAAGTCAGGTATTAAGAGGTCAGGGATGTGAAAAATAAGACCTCAAGTTATCCTCTGGCTTTACAACTCTGAATTCCAAAGCACACATCTGAAAGTTAATAGTTTTGCTTTTCAGAAATGTGAAATAATAAGCTGACATGTTTTTGTAAAATTGGAAGTAAATTCTGAAATTAATTGCCTCTTTGTAAATGCTGGAGTTTGGGTGCTGTTTGGGTGCTTCTTAGCAGGAGGTTCCTCACAGGAAAGAGGGAGACTTAGCAGGAGAGTCTGATGGTGGGCTTTTCTTTTTACTGTGTACATGCAGTGTCCTTAGCTCAGATGGACGAAGGACGCTCCTCAGGGAAACCTGGCCATGGGAGATACTGTTTTTGCTCATTTTCACTTGCAAGAAGAATAGAACCCAAGTCACAAAAAAACAGTTCTTCTGTGGTAGAAAGAAAAAAAAGGGGGTGGGGCACAGAACTGTAGACTTAGACTCTATTTTTGAAACCAGTAACATCTGAGGACGCCGAAGTCTCCCAAGTCATTTACAAAAGCCCAGAAAAGCATTCAGGGTATCCTGGGTATGTATGGACCAGCTTCTGGGAGAAAACAGCTTTACTAATTAAAATCTAAAAAGTGGAGTAACCAGATCAGCATATGGAATAGCAAGAGTTGTGATCAGATGGAGCAGTGGAGGGCACAGGTGGTGCTGGTTGCGATGTCGTTTGAACAGTGCAGTTTGCTTTTAGAAACAGCGCACTTTGCATGGGACCAGGAGGGGGCCTGTAATGGATGAGAACACGAGTGGTGAGATTCTGGGTACATTTTTACAAACTGACTTAAAGGTCCCTACCCCCCTGGTAAGTAGAACTCAGCGTCAAGGTGATAAAAATTTTCAGCTCAGAGTGGAAGTGATACTGTTGGTCTGTAATCATTCTTTATTCAGTGTAAGCAGTAAAGGTAAGTATAATTCCCCACATGGTATTCTGTCATCAAACATAACTGAAAATCAGAATACCGTTTATCATTTGCTGATTTATGACCCTAACTGAAGAACACTGATAGTCATAAAAAGTATCTATACTTAAAGGGAGGACCTTTTTGAAGAAAATATCTGAGGGGTAAGTTTTATATAAGACACTGATTAGGAAGGTAAAGAGTAAAGAATCTGAGAACAGAAGTTTATCAGCTGAATTTTTTGGATGGCATTCTCTTTTGCACATCTGTTCTTTCCTGTTCTTTTGGTAAAGGAATAAACATCTTACATAAGGGAAGCCGTATTGACTTGTACATTAGTTTAAGGAAACTCTGCCCGTTCTCAATCTTAATGGCCTCTAGAGTGGGTGGTACCTTTCTCCTTCAGCTTAGCAGTAAAGCCTAAGAATGGACTTGACCTGAATCAGATGTTTTTCCTTGGTATAAATTTGTTGTTCCATTTATTGGAGATTTAGGGATCTTTGTAATCGGTAGATATCTGTAGAGGCTCTCAGTGAGCCTCTGCCTCATTGAGAAAATAGCTAATTGTTTGGGCTGTAAGCCAAGAAAGTAGGTAAATATGGATAAACAGTAATCTCAAATTGTAGTACTGAGTCCTTTCCTCCCACAGGTCCCAGTAGGGATGGCACAATCAGCGAGGACACTATCCGAGCCTCTCTCATCTCAGCAGTCAGTGACAAACTCAGATGGCGGATGAAGGAGGAGATGGATCGCGCCCAAGCAGAGCTCAACGCCTTGAAACGGACAGAGGAAGACCTGAAAAAAGGGCACCAGAAACTTGAAGAGATGGTTACCCGTTTAGATCAAGAAGTAGTAAGTAACTCGTTGCATAATGGCACTGTTCTAACTGTAGCTACGGCAAAGTTTTCTGTATGTACTATGGCTACCCTGAGTACTGTGGGTATGAGAGTTCAAACGATTGTATACACTCTTTAAGCACTTGAACATAGCTTCTCTACAGCTTGTTAAAAAACAGAGCCTATGGTTGAAATACTAGGAAGTGTGGATGTATTTAGAGGATTTTTTGCTTGCACCTTCATGCTGGGGGATAATGTTTTGACCCATAGGAGGACTGTTTGAGTGTTAATGTTACCAGACAGTTACCCAGAAATAAGAATTTGAGAGAGTTCTAAGCCTTGATGAAGATCTGCAGACCTGGGGTGCAGACTTAAGGATCAGTTTTCTGTTTTGTTTCCAAACATTGTTTGAACTATAGTTAAAGTATCTTTGGTATGCAATCTTTAGCTCTTCAGCTTTCTCACATTTTTATCAGACTGCTTTGCCGTGAAGAGTCAGTATAAGTCAGCCCTGTGACTTTTGTTTAAAGATGTAGAGTTGAGTACCAGCTTCACTCTTCACTTTGATTCTTGTGAGGGAGAATCTGTTTCAGTAAGTATGCATTTTTGATGAAAGGATAGAGAGTTTACTGAGTGTTTGAAGAAAGCAATTTGTATGTACACATTAGTCTAATAAATGGTCCTAGTGTGTAAAATGAGCTTCTCGATAGTCAGCTATTTTCAAACATTGAGGAAAATGGCACCAGTACAATTCAGAGCCCACAGCCACCACCTGCTGTTATCTTGGGACTAAAATTCAAGTGTTTGTGGAGTTCTGTGTGTTGAATCATCTGTATAGACTGGGGGAAGTTGTTCCTCTGAGGCAGATGTTCACTTGTTTTGAAAGAAGGGCCTCTTTTATGATATTAATGTAAGAAACCTCCTGCAGGAAAGTGTCTTATCTGATGGCTTAGTTTGCAATATTTATTACTGGTAAGTGACAGGCTTATCACTGCCACCAAAAGTGCTCAGCTTAGCATCTCCTGTTTGTACTTAGCATGTTAGAGCACACCTTTTCCTCTAACTTTGAAATGTGTATTTGAAACGTGAATCTTATCCATGAGTTGTTGAAGCATTGTTTTATTAGCAAGTCTGCTTCTGTGAAGTTGAGTTGCAGATGTCTGACAAACAAGATAATTACAATTAGTGTAAAATCATCATGCTTGTTCTGTTTTCAGGCTGAGGTTGATAAAAACATAGAACTTTTGAGAAAGAAGGATGAAGAACTCAGTTCTGCTCTGGAGAAAATGGAAAATCAGTCTGAAAACAATGATATTGATGAAGTTATCATTCCCACAGCCCCACTATACAAACAGATCCTAAATCTGTATGCAGAGGAAAATGCTATTGAAGACACTATTTTTTACCTGGGAGAAGCCTTGAGGCGGGGAGTAATAGACCTAGATGTCTTCCTAAAGGTATGTCTTCTTCACTCTGCTTTCCAGAGTTTTGGAACTTGTTTTAGAACCACTGTTGCTGAAAACCACAAATCAAGAGGGTTTGTCTGTAGGGGATGAGTTAAAATTCTTTTTCTTTCCAAAAGTGAGCAGGTGGGGTAAATGGCTGTAAGCAGTGTCTTCCCACCTACAGAGAGGACTGAGGATAATCTGAGTATGGGAAGAAAAGTGGGTTTAGTAGCTGCAGGTCCTACCCCAAGGCGGCATCAAGCTGAATGTAATTCTTCTTACTACTGCACCCGGGTGGATCAGCAGGCACAGTCAGGTTTCCATTCTTTCAGGTCACACCATCTAAATTAAGATCATTGACTGCCCCATCCTTGTTGCTTTTTTCCCCCCTCTGTTAATTTTCTTAGACTTGCATACTTTTATCCCTGTTTCCCCTTGTAGAGTATTGGACTTGCCCTGCTAGCAATAGAGGCCTTTTAAATGAAGATTATTCCAGGCTTAATGCTACTGTACAGACATGGAAGATCTGTAAGCCAAGTTTGGCTACTGTTCTCTGTTGGGTCATGAAGAGCGTGGCTTTAGGGATAACAGCCACCCTTTGGATATTCAGTACAGCTGCTTCTGATGCTTCAGTGTACCTGCGAGGCTGGTCAGGTTGCTTGCTGATCCTGCCTATCTCACTGTGAGTGTGTGACTAAACCACTCTTGGACCTGGTATAAGCATATGAATAGCTGGGACCTGAGAGAGGGCTCCCTTTCTGTATGCTGCTCTCTGCTTGGGTGGCATAACTTAGGCAAGATAAACGTGGAGTGGTGAGAAAAGGATGCTGTTTGCTAGGCACTGGACCAAAGGTGGCCTTGTGCTACTCATCCCTGCCCTTCCCTTTTTTAGCTAAGTAGGGACATTCAGTTCTAAAAGGTTTGTGTTAACTTTTGTTAGGATCGCAGTACATGTTTCCCTGGCATCTTGGTTGTCTCAAGATGTAGCTTGAACTCCTCTGAGCCAGATCCTGCATGGGGGTGCTTTCCCTGTGACACATTGTAGGGTCTCAGAAGACTGCTTTCCTGAATACAAGTGTATTAGTTGCTCAGTTGTGTCCAACTCTTTGCGACCTTGTGGGCTGTAGCCCGTCAGGCTCCTCTGTCCATGGAATTCTCCAGGCAAGGGTATTGGAGTGGGTAGCCATTCTCTTCTCTAGGAGATCTTCCTGACCCAGGGATTGAATCCGTTTCTCCTGGATTGCAGGCAAATTCTTTACCATCTGAGTCACCAGGAAAGCCTCCACGGGCTCCTTAACACAGCCTGCCAGCATCAATCCAGTGAGTTTAAACAGCCACATAAGATGTAGTATTGGGCTCCAAAGGAAGGTTGATGAGTTTAGGGTTCCTAACTCCCATGTGGGTCACAAACGTCTGCTCGTTGATGCCTGGACCTGGGTAAGGGCTGGCCTAAACTGTCTGACCTCTTCCCCCTCACAGCATGTGCGTCTTCTGTCCCGTAAACAGTTCCAGCTGAGGGCACTAATGCAGAAAGCAAGGAAGACCGCCGGCCTCAGTGACCTCTACTGACGGCCCTGGCCCGCGTGGAGACCGGGCTCTTCTCGAGCATCCTCTTCTTCTCTTCCTTTCTCTTGTATCAGTAGGTGCCCAAATAAGTTATTGCAGTTTATCATTCAAGTGTAAAATATTTTGAATCAATAATATATTTTCTGTTTTCTTTTGGTAAAGACTGGCTTTTATTAATGCACTTTCTATCCTCTGTAAACTCTTTTTGTGCTGAATGTTGGGACTGACTATGCTAAATAAAATTTGTTGCATAATTTTTCTCTTCTTTACTGAACACATGAAACAAAATATGTGAAACTTAATAAGCTCAGCTTCTAATTTATCCATCATGAGTTGAAATTTACCATTATTCTCTAGCATATAAAGTGGATTCTACTCAATATGGGATATAATACATAGAAATCTAAATGTTCAAATATTTAAATTTTAATGACTTTCTGTGAAAGGTCCTCGTATCCTCCTGCCAATTCTGTGTAGATTTTATTCTTTCCCAGACCTGACAGAACCATAACTGTTTTCGTCATGAAAGCAGCAGAGTGGCCAGTGCCAAGCAACACATCTGAGAGTTTATTAACTCGGCAGGATGACCTGGCCACAGCTGAGGAGGAAGGTACAGTGTCCAGCTGAGGAGGAAGGTACAGTGTCCACTGCCTGTCTGCACTTACTGTCGTTTGCAGCCAGTCTCCCTGGTGAGTGACTCTGGGTAAGACTATGGTCACCCACCCAGTGACCCATATGTCCCATAGAGCTAACCCAGCAGAACTGAGTGTTCTCTGTCAGATGAGAGCTGGAAGGTTCTAAAGAAATGAACATTCTAATTTAAGATACCTTAAGGTATGTAGCGTGTGAGGCAGTCTTTCCCAAGAGAAGAAAGACCAATTTGGTCTCACCACTAAAGAATTTATAATCTTAAAAAATTAAAATCCACTTGTAAAAATTATCAGAATAAAATCTAACAAGGTTTAATTTAGTGTTAGGATTACATGAGTTATTTTTGTGTATATATACTTTTATTTTTACATGGTAGAGGAAATTACAGCTTTTTTATAGCATATAAATGAACACAGATATATCAGCCAGCCAGAACAAAAGAATTAGCATATACTTGATGGAAAGCATCAATTTCTAAACACAGTAAACATACATCATAAATCCTTTTGGACCAAATGGTACTACATATATACAAGGCAAGTACTGGTACATCAGAGGCATCAGAACACCTTCTTTGACCAGAATGACTTCTTTGCAGTCATTTAGGAATTTCATCCAAATGTTGGATGATAACTAAAAGAGCTGAAGGGCTAAATAAAGGACTCACTCTGCCCCCCCCCCCTTTTTCCAACTTATAGGAATTCAGGTTTATTCAGAAGTTTGACATGTAATCCTGTAACTACCATCTCTTTTTCGATAACTTCTTCTGAGGTAGTTGTAAGTAACTTTAAAGCTTGAGCTCCTTGTGAGTTTCCCAAAGAGTTTCTGCACTCTTTCTCAAATGGGCCTCCTCTTCAGGGGTCAGCTTTACCTTTACGAGGTCTGTAATACCATTCACTCCCAGGACACATGGAACACTAGTATAGTCTTCATTTATTCAATAATGGCCCTGAAAGTAAAGACTTAAAAATTATTTCTTTTTCTTTTTTCCTAACAGAAGTCTGCAATAGGAGAAACAACAGTTGCTGGGTGAATAAGTATTTAACAGATTTGTAGTATGAATTGTGGCAGAAAAAAAAACCACCAGGAAAAAGTTTAAAACACATGACTAGACATTTATTGTTCAAATTCATCTGCCATCTTTCCACACAGGCCCCCAACCTCTTGCCATGTTTGCTGGGACCTACCCTTCTTTTCCTGTCTCCTTGCCCACAGTCCACTTACTATAAGGAACTACTTTAAAACTTCCTATTACTTTATTCCCAGTGATTTAATTCTATTTTACTTTACCCTCTCCCATTCAAACTAGCAGAGGCTTCATACCTGGGCCCCAACTCCCCCCCGCCCCAGGAGACTTGACTGCTAACATCTTTGTGACCAGTGCTTTTCTTAGGTCTCTTCTTGGACCAATTGAAAACGGTTAGAGAACAACTCAAAATGTTACAAGACCTACCCGCACAGTGGTTCCCAATGTTACTAGATGTTTATAGAGCTAGTTCACTTAGTTAAATAACAAAGATGCAATGAGACTTTCATCTGATCAAATACAGTAAGACATACCACACTAGGCCAGGAGAAAGGTCCACAGAGGTAGGTCTCTTCCTCCTCTAGTACCCATCCCTTTGTCTCTCTTCAACAGCAATAAAGAATATACTTTAGGAAGAGGTGCTTCCACAGATTCAACTTCAAAAACTAAATGCCCTTTTATCTCATTTTATGTTGATAAATATTTTTTCAAACATAAACATCCTACCTTCATGTTGCAAGCTGGATGCCTTCCTAAGATTGTTCAAAATACTTGCTGTTACATCAGCACAGATAGGGCAGCACCCCATTTCTTTTTAATCATCTTAGAGCCACTGTGGAATTGGAAGAAATGATGAACATAAGTTACATGATTAGCTGGGACCCAAGAGAGGGCTCCCTTTCTGTACACTATACGTGTCTTTGAACATCCGTATATGGCAGCCTGACAATGCCACGAATCTGAATTGTTTCCATCAGTAATTTCTCCTAGGAATTCCTTACAGGACTTGGTTGTTTAAGGTAGAAAAGAGTTATGAGGATAAGTGAGTTATGAGACCCAGAAATTAGTGTGAAATCAATTTTACTATTAACAGTAAAGAATTTATAGCAACAATTTAAAAATATATCCCTTTAAACAAGAATTTAACAAATAAGTGCCTACAATATGGTAAGATACTGGGTTGGGCTCCGCAAGGAGCAAGAAAGACTTAGTCCCTGACTGCTTAAGAGTTTGTTATCTGGTGAATAGGATCACACAAAAATAAAAAGTGCTAATGAAAGAAAAGTATCGGAGACACAACAACATGTACTTAAGGGACCCAAATCTCATCCCTCTGGCACAATTCGGCCTTACAGCTGACTTCCAAGGTACTGAAGATGCAAAACGAACATATTGCCCTGGCAACCACTTTGTGGACATTTCCCCACTACTCAGATCTTTATCAGTTCCTTTATCTGAGTTTAGATCCTTCAGAGAGACCCCAGCAATGTTCACTCCAACCCACACAGAAACTAAGGAAAAGATACCCCCAGATCGATTTATTACATAGTGTTATATAACAAGTGTTTTGCTTTTTTAAAAAAAACCTTAGCAAAACTGTTATAATTGCCCTGAGAGGTTTACAACTAGGAATTTTTAGCAAAACTTAACAAATTCAGATGTCTAAGCCCTATCCCACATCAGCTAAATGTAAATCTTTAGGGATGGAGCCCATAATTTGATCTTCTTGGCATAGATACACCAAACAAGAAAAAGACAGTTTGAAATTGCCAACTATAAGTTAAGTTTTACCTTTTATCACTTCAAGTCTTTTTCCATAGCCAGGGTTTGTATTAGATTTCAAGGGTTCTTAGCCAGAAGAAACTAAGATGGTAATAAGGACTGCTATTATATCAGCACCCCTTCCTCCTCTTCCCTTTAATTTTCTCCAGTAAATAGAATTCATGTTAACTGAATTATCATTCTGACCTTTCTGAGCTAGAGTAGCCCAAGTCAACTATAAATTACATTTTATTACTTCATGCTGTGTTAATAAGAAAGCCTTATAATACATACGCAGGATTATAGTAACATTCTCATTTTTTTCAAACCTGTATTTCTGGTAAGTTATTATAAAAATAATTTGCTAAAATTTTAAATACTACTAAAAGGGCCTAAAGTAGAACAGAAGTCCTTTTTCCCCCACTCAAGAGGTATTTTGTGATTAAATATATGATCAATATAGTCTAAATATATTTCAGTGTGTGTGCATGGCTCAGGGGCATTTTTGGGCTTACCACTCCAGTCTCTGTGCTCTAAAAGGTCAAAGACCACAACGGCTTTCAGACGACACCAAGCCTCTGCCCAGTCGAGAAACAGAAAGGAGCAGGAAGATTACTACTGGTCAGTGACAAGCTGCTCCCAATAGCAACAGTTTTGGGTGAAATGCTCTTAACTTCATGCTACAAAGTTAAGATAGCCACTGACAGAAAAAAATTCAAGTCAGAAAAAGTTCTCATCTTAAATGATAAACTTTTTTACACATATGTAAATTAAAACTGATAAGTCTGATGTTTCATGGAGGAAAAAACATAGTTCTCTGTCCAGCTCCAGCTGTGTACCCATAGTTTCAATAATATTTACCCAATAAGAATAAATTATGAAAAACTTTTGTTGCTACTCCACCTAGACTATTGTGCAAAAACATATTGATTCATTCCATAAAACATTTAAGAAATAATATTCCTTTATCAAGTCTTTGAAATAATTTTTCTCAGAGAATAATCCATTTAGATCAAAAGCTTAGCTAAAAGGGAAACAGAAACAACTAAACATGGAATATAACTGTCAGGTAAAACATAAATCAGGCCTTAGTCCCACTACACAAGGAAAAAAATTGGACATAGTCTGATGTTTTAAACTATTAGAATTTTTTTCTTCTTGAGTTTAAAAAGTGGTAATTATTAGAAGGTTAGTGGAGATATAGTAATGGAAAACAGAATTTTCAACAATAAAAAAGTATTAATAAGGAAGGGTACTATGTAAAAATATATGAAACAATCCAACAGTATATAATAATAATGAACCAAGACACAATTTATGAAATGCCCTCAAAATATATTGGAAAAAAAAACTAGGAAATGCTAAGTGGATTTGTTTAACTACTTTTGTTAGAGGTTGATAGATCATTAAAACTTAGTAATTTAGTAATACTAAATAGTAAAGTCAGTAAGTGTGAATGGATACAGAAAGATCATCCAATTAAGTCCATCCCCCTCCCCAAATACATAAGGAACATTTATAAAGATTGTCAAAATGTAAGTAAGCCTTAACAGATTTCAGAGGTTGAATGTTAACTCACATTTCTGTGATCTCAATTCAGCTAAGTTAGAATCAACCACAACGTAACACATTTAAAAATGTTTCAAGGCTAAAAGCATACTCAAATGACTCACTGAATTAAAGAGAAAATAAAACTAGGAATTACAAAATATTTATAATTGACAGTAAAAGTATCACAAAACAAAATGTGGTACTGTTAAAGTTTATATTCTTAAATGCATTATTTAAACAAGAAAGATCAAGGATAAGAGTATT